CCCCCTAACAACCTCACAGTTGTACCTCTAATACAGTAAGGAATGGACCCGAGCTCCTCTTTTTCTCTTCAGAGTATGGGCTACTTGCTTGGGGGAAATGGTAGGTCCCTCTTATTTCTTACAGGCTGTAAATTCTAGAGAGCTTCTGCAGGGGTAAAGAGCACATAACTCTGTGTGTGTGTGTGTTTGTGTGTGTGTCTATGTGCACACAGTGGAGACTGGTATCTTTCTTCCAACCAGTAGAGTCATGTTTGGTAGGCTTATGAATTCCTTTGTATTTTTTTGGGATGTTCAGCGTAGCCCATGACATGAGTGCCTCACCACAGTAATTCTGCCCCATCACAGGATTCTCTAAAGGAGAATCAGGTAAAAGGTGAAGGTCTTGGGATGCCTGGGTGGCTCAGTCGGTTAAGCGTCTGCCTTCAGCTCAGGTCATGATCCCAGGGTCCTGGGATCGAGTCTCACATCCGGCTCCTTCCTCAGCAGGGAGCCTGCTTCTCTCTCTGCCTCTGCCTACCTCTCTGCCTACTTGTGCACTCTCTCTCTCTCTCTCTGACAAATAAATAAATAAATAAAATCTTAAAAAAAAAAAAAAAAGGTGAAGGTCTCCCTGAGTTCTGCTTATGTGCCAAGAACTGCCTACTTCATATCCAGACCCCATCCTGGACACAGACATAACCTCAAGAGAACCAGAGGACGTCAGGAGAATCTACCAAGTGCCACTGGGCTCAGACAACAAAACACTCATCTCCTTCAGCTTCCTCCCTAATGGAACCTTGGTTCTAAGCCATCAGGCACCTCTCCCATGCATGATCCTGGGGCGATTCTCACCTTCTCAACCCAGGGAAGTCACAGCCATCTCTTCCTCTCATCCGTGACGGTTCAGGAGTGAGCATGTGCCCTGACTGTGGTCAAGGAGACTTGAGTGGATGTCTGCCAGCTGTCTGAGAAAGACTTCTTCCCTCCTAAGACAGACACAGAGAGACATGGATGTCTGTGGACGGGGCCTCTGGAACTCCCATGGCCACTCACATGAAGGATACAGAGGAGGCTGAGCAAAGAGTGTTCTAGAGAAGCAGGTCCACGGATGTGCTCTGGAGCTCACCCTGCTCTCAGCCTCAGGCTATGGAACAGAATATACTTCCTAGGGGCTGAAGGTAGTTGGAGACAAAGTTTCCATTATGTGCGTTGGAAAACATCACACCCTACAACCAACCCTGCTGGAGATGCCCTCCCTCTCCATGATCACGTTGAAAAGCCACCCCCCACCAGGCTGGGGATATTATACCTCTTTTCCCTACCTGCTAATCATCACCTTACAAATAAACCCTGGAAAATTCGGCATCTGATTTAGGAGGATGGGGTGGGTGATGGAGTGACCTTCACTGGAGGGTGATGAGAAGACGGGACCGCTTCCTCTTTCCAACCTGGTTCTCTGATGATTGCACGAGGCTCAGGAAGCCTTGAGCCACAGCCTTCTGCCACCCCTCTTAGGAGGAATTTTTTAACCAAACAGTATATCCTTCCCACAGCAAATGCTTTCTGGAACAAAATCCTCTCAGAGGCCCAGAAAAATCTAGGCCAGGGGCACCTGGGTGACTCAGTCGCTTAAGTGCCTGCTTTCTGCTCAGATTATGATCCCAGGGTCCTGGGATTGAGATCAGCATCAGGCTCCCTGCTCAGCAGTGAGTCTGCTTCTCCCTTTCCCTTTGCCTCTCCCTCTGCTTGTGTTCTCTCTCTCTCAAGTAAATAAATAAAATCTTAAGAAAAAAAAAAAAAGAAAGAAAAATCCAGGCCATTCATTTTTTTTTTTTTTTTTAGGCTTCCACTAAATTAACATAAAGAAGCCATTCTAATACAACTTTATAAAAGTTTGGGTATGGTTTAAATGTCTACATTTTACCAATAAATGTTTCACAGATCTCCCTCTGCACACAAAATGCCCTAGAAAAGGATCTGGTTTCAGGAAATGAATTGAGAGTTGTGGTTTGAACGTCTTCCTTTGACCGTCTTCTTTATTTTTCCCCCTTAGTAGCAATGTGAGGCTTGAACTCCTAACCCCTGAGATCAAGGGCTGCACGCCCCACCCGCTGAGCCAGCCAGGTGCCCACGGTTTGCTTCACTTTGTTTTTAACTTACCAGAATCCAGTTTTCCCCACCAGCCTCTGACACACGAGCATTCTTCCCACCAAACCTAACTCATGTTCTGGGTTTCTAGTTCCCAGCTGCATGTGGCAGACGACTAAAGGCGGCAAGGACCACCTTGACCACCAGGAAAGAAGGAAAACTTCCGGGCAATGAGCTCCAGGCTCTCAGGATCCCAGGCCTGGGTGGCTACCCAGCTCTGGGAAAACCTGTACCGGGGTTTTGTCTCACAGAAGACTAGAGACGCGGGCTGGAGTTCTCTCATTTGCCCCTCTGAAAGTAACAGACTTTAGCAAAGAAAATGGGCTCGGTCTGGTTACTTTCTGAGTTTGAGATCCCTTCTCTGAAGCAGAAGAGCGTGGGGGTCATAAAGCTTGCCCTGGGACTGATAGCCGTGTGACCTCAAATCACTTTAGCTCTGGGCCTCAGTGTCCTCCGCGCAGCAACGGGAACCATAATTGGGTTTTACGAGTATCAGGCGTTGGAGGCTGGGAAGCCCCGCTTTAAAGAGTTCTTTTGTTAAGAAAAAACCCAGATTCTGCTCCAGAGGCCCTGCCCATCGTGGGCTTCGCTCCTCCAAGTAAACAACACTCGTGACTCATGCTTCTGCAGGAAGCAAGGAATGGATGACTGTGTTTGGTGACAAAAACAATAATAAATGGCTTTGCCTGTCTTGTCTCTTTTTCAGAGTCAGGGAGGGAATTAAATGACCAGTAATTATCATTTTAACTGCTGTTTTATCCCGTATCAATCAGAACTATTCATTCTGGGGGCTCTCAGACCCTCAGGCTGAAACCCCAGTAAATCAGGGTCAGCGCCAGTGGGAACAGATAAGGCCAGCTTTTAACTCTGTGAGCGTTCATGTTCACGGCCTGCGATGAACACCAGTGGCAAGTTCCCAAGAAGAAGCCAGCTGCGCTCCACATCTAGGAACCCACGGTCCTATTACCTTGTTTTTAATATTCTGCCTTCGATGGGACCACAGCTGTAAACAAGTCTTCGCTCCCATCTCTCCGAGAAGTTAATTTGCACTGTGTCAGCACTGCGGGCTCTTTGCATATGTTCAGGACAAGCTGATAGGAGCCAGCCTGGAATGAATAATGTTTAGGAAAATCAATAAACCCTATTATTAGTCACTAAGGGGACTGATTTTATGTCTGTAAAAGTAAAACAATTAGAACCGTATTAATGGCAGATTCATCATACTAATATAATGGAGCCAAGTAGGCTTGTCTTTTGGGAATCTTTAATTTACCATTCGGTCCTGACTATGTACTCAGCCAGAGAACCCGCACACATAATATAAACAAGCCTTGCCCTTTGGCAATTTCATGTTGTCATAAGCAAAGACAACACTCTAACAGTTCGGGCGAAGAAACAAAACTTCATTTAGTGATTAATGTAAACCAGTCATGAATAACGTTCCCGTAAAAGCCTGGGGGGCGGGGAGAGACCATTCACGTCGCACTGTGGGTTTGGTCATATATTTCTCTGCATTTCCTGGCACTCCTGTTTATTACAGCAGCAAAGAGAAGCATGGCCGGGTCCATCTGTTTAGACTAACCAGTCAGGCCCCTAACTAGTAGTGATCAAAAGGCTGGTGTGGCATAAGGACTCATCCAGTCTTTCTGCGGTGGAAAGGCAAGACTGGCTTTCACAGGATTTTAACAAAATGCTTCTTGCTAAAAGCAGAAAAATCAGCCCGGAATCCGTAGCTTCGGCTTGCCGCCACGGGAACGCAGCAATTCAGCGGAAGATGGGAGCAGACCACCTTAGCCCTGCTCTGGCGTCTGGAACAACTGAATTACTCAGTCTGTTCTAGAACTACAGCAGCAGGGAGGCAATCAACAGACACACCTGAGACCATATTTGGAACAGAGGAAACATACTTGCTGAAATGGCGTCAGCAAATGTACATCGACTCGGCAAGGACATATCAAACTGAAAACACGCGGTAACTTTACGAAAATGGTGAGAAACGTGAAATGTTCACACGTGGGGAAAAACCACCACCAACAAGGTCTTTAGAAACACTCACATGGATGAAATTCAAAAGACAATCGAAGCGAAAATTTGGAGAAAAATAACCTTCTAGAGAAATCTATCAGGAACGCGACAAACCTGCAAGGCTTTTCCGAAAGCAGAAGAAACACTTGGAATGCAGAAATCTCATCCGTTTGCAAAGCAAAGGCCCGCCCCCCGCCCCCAGGAGGAGAGCTAACCACATTATACCAAGACAATGTCTGTCAACATCCAGAACTTTGTAGACAAACACCGAGGAGGGGAATGGCCAATAGCAGATACAGGAGCTTACCACACCTACTAGAAAACGCAGTTGCTAGGAGGAGAGGAATTTAATCTACTATGTTCACGGCTATATCCCAGTCCCCTATACGGTGCCTAGGATAAAGTAGATGCTTAGTAAGTGTTTGTTGGAAGGGAGGGAGGGTGGAAGGGAGGCAAGGACAGAGGCAGTTAATTCTGTAGGTGGGACGTAAAATACGCTAGCAAAACAACTCAATGACAAGTCAAATAAATGGTTGACTTTTCTACTACCCACACGTCCTGAGACGGATATCTTTGGAGCATCATTCCCTATCAGAGAAACCCAGATGTACCAATTTGTACTGATGCGATGCTCCGTGTTTGGAGTAAATACCCACTAAATTTGCACACATCCACGGAATTAAATACACCACTTGGATGTTACACCGGCGTCTCATATGAGAAAACTCAGTATGCGTGTACTTTCTCTTTCAAAGAGAACGTTCGTAATATTTAGCAACCTTTCTTTGAAAATGAGAATCACTCCCAGCCATCGAGAAATAACACAAGACAGACAAGAGGCCGTTATAAAAAAAAAAAACCTTTTTAATTCTGATTGCCAAATTATTTAAGGCAGGTATAAAAAAGGAAAGCATTCAATATACATTTTACATAAAATAAACTAGATTACAGCATAAAACAAGTAACCAGGCAATGGCGTTAAAGTCTCTCTCTTCTAAAACTGGGTAATTGTAAACATTAAAAAAAAAAGAAAAAAAAAAAAGGACTGCAAGACTATTCAAGTAATAGAACAATCACAGATGTCTCTGGTACGCAGGCTATTGGGTTATTTGCCATTCAAGATTATCCAAAAAATGACATCTCATTATTCACAGATGCTCATTATTTCCCCATTTTAATCTTTACATTATATACAACACAGTTTTTGTGGTACTGGCAACCCCATGCCTTTCCATAAGTCTTTTTTTTTTTTTTTTTTTAAATCCCACAACACACAAGTACAAACAGTGACTACAGGAGCATTTCACACTGATGTGTCTTTAATGGGAGCCACCGAATAGACATCTAAATTGTACCCAAGCGTCATCATCACAGCCAGCCTTTCTGAGGGCCTCACGGGGTATCGAGGAAGGATATGCAAGGTTCGGGCACACGGATACAGAACGTCCTTTATTTACAAGTGGAAAGGAAAAGAAAGTAAGCAGCCTTCTGCGGCCAACACTTTTCAACATGACAGATACACTTTTTATTTCTTTTTACTGAGTGGTTTGCGACTTGGTAGCAGACCCTGTGTGTGCGAGCCTGGTTACTGATACAAAAAAGTAAAGAATATATATATATATATATATGTATATATACATATATGTATACGTATATATATATAAAACAGAAGTTTAATTACAGCAACATTTGTTACTCTGTGATAAAATCTGTAATTTACAAAAATGAAATGACTGGTTTTTGCCTGCCATTAAAGGCATTTCAAATTAACACCATGGAACTGATGTTTGTATAAAACGCTCTCCCATGTGATCCAGTCACATGACAACGTACGTTTCCAATCTTGTTATTCTCTGCAAGAGAAAAGAAGACCTTAGCATGAGGTTCTTGCCACAAGTGACACTGAAAATACAAAAACCCCAAGACTGACAGACTTATGTATCTCAATTCTATTCTGTTCACGGGATTCCCTTCTACAGAGAGGGAATGAACAGGAGGGTAAGGATACATACCACGGAGGAAGAAATTATTTTCCTTTCTCAAACAATGGGAGGGGTAATTCAAAGTATCGAAGAACAAACATGACCTTTAGCATTATGAAAATAAGTATCTCCCTTCGCGACTTTGTTTTTTACACAGGCTAAATCAAAGGGAGTCATGGCGAATTATTCTAACAAAGCTGTGTGAGAGACTCTCAACTGTTAAAAAAAAACACCCATTTGTTGATTGCTAGCCCATGTTACAGCTAAAGAAAGGAGGGTCCTGGAAGGTAAGCTCATAGGGGAAGCAATAGGGATGTAAAAACACATTATAATAATATAAAACCCCAAGGAGCCAAGTTTTGGATCTATTGGATGTTTGTCTATTTGGATCTAAAAAGCCTATACTATATCCACCCCCCCATTTCGCTGTCTCTACTAGAAAGTGGATTCGAAATGCACAGGATATTTACCTTCTTTGTGCAGGAAACATTCCTGATGCAGATGCCTGGGCGGCCACCTGCTGAGAGGCAACGAGGGCAGCGGAGGTCAAGCCTGATGGGGAAAAAATGCAGGTTTTCTGTGACATTGGGAAAGATAAGAGCAGGTACAGGTCCCCAGGTGAAATACTACAGCCATCTGACCTTTCCTAAACACACACGACAGGTTTCACGCAGCAAGGACGAGCCCAAGCCGTGTGGTCTAACTAACGTCTACCATTTATCCAAGAGTACAGTTGTTTTTTTTTTTTTAAGATTTTATTTATTCATTTGACAGAGAGAGAGATCACAAGCAGGCAGGGAGGCAGGCAGAGAGAGAGGAGGAAGCAGGCCCTCCGTGGACCAGAGAGCCCGATGCGGGGCTCGATCCCAGGACCCTGGGATCATGACCTGAGCCAAAGGCAGAGGCTTTAACCCACTGAGCCACCCAGGCACCCCAAGAGTCCAGTTTTTTAATAACTATTCCAAGACATTCCATCTCCCGGACTCTGCACGGAGCTAGATGGTTTGTGCTCATTCCTGAACAGGACGCTCAGCAGAATTAATAGGCAGCGGGTCGCAACACGAAGCCAAAGTCACGGTGAACGACAGCAGCAACACGCTATGTGCTTCGAACACGATACTTTCATAGTAGCTTGGGCCACACTTGAACATTTCCCCGGCGAAGGGACAAAAGGCACCCCGTCAGGAATTAGTCAGGAATTCCCACGGAATCAGCGAATCAAACTTAGAAACAGCCTGAGCTTCTACTCTGCAAGAGAGAGACGGCCATGGCGAGAACGGCATAGCCCCAGATGGCATAAAGTTGCCTAGCGGGAAGCGATTTTTCATTCTACAGCAAAAACAAAAACAAAAAACCAAAAAACAAACCCCAGAAAAATAAGAAGACAGAAGTGCCAACCTCGGGAAGAGTACTCTCCCTTTGTGTCCTTTCTGTTCTTTCTTAACGCCACGAGCTGACAGCGAGCACCATGAGATAATAAACAGAAGCGAGTCTTGACGCCTGCAGAGCACTTCCCACTTCGGGAGGTACCTTCACACATGTTCTCTCGCGTTCACACAGTAAAAGAAGGGGTGATGTGGCCCGTGTGAGGGGCTGAAAGTGTCTCCCCCCGCCCAAGTTCCTAGGTGGACGCCCTCACCCCCAGAGTAACTATCTTAGGATAGGACCTAAACAATTAAGGTTAAATGAGGTCATAAGGATGGCACTGTAATCCACCAAGATCCGTGTCCTTACAGACGAGACCTCAGAGGGTAGCACGCGCTCTCTGTCTTTGTCACAGAGAAGAGGTCATACAGGTACACAGCAAGATGGCAGCTTGCCTCATGCCAGACACAGAGCACTCACCACCAAGCAACCGTGCTAGTACCCTGATCTCAGACCCCCAGCCTCCAGAACTATGGGAAGTTACGCCTGCTGTTGAAAGCCATGGAGGCTGCAACATTTCATCCTGGCCGTCTGAGCTGAGACAGCAAGAACCTGGCCAGTGGATGGATGGGCAGCAATGGGGCCCGGCATCCCTGCCCCCCGGAGGTCACAGAGCTGAGACAAATGGCACAAGCTCAGCTAATAACACCACAAATCAAAGGCTCTCGCTCATCGATGCTATGCCTTCTTCAAGATGTTTCTCCATCTTGAAAGTCACAGCCATAAATGGCTACTAACAGTCCCTGAATTAGAGGTGATTGAAAGTGGTAAACTGGGGGCGCCTGGGTGGCTCAGCGGGTTAAGCCTCTGCCTTTGGCTCAGGTCATGATCTCAGGGTCCTGGGATCGAGCCCCACATCGGGCTCTCTGCTCAGCGGGAAGCTTGCGTCCCCCTCTCTCTCTGCCTGCCTCTCTGCCTACTTGTCAACTCTGTCAAAATAAATAAATAAAATTTTTTTTTTAAAAGTGTTAAACGGGATCGTGTCGCTCCTATTACTTCGGGGGGAGGGGTGGCAGGAAAGCAATGGGAAAGACCTGAAGAAATCACTGCAATGTCACCAAAGCCTCTCGCCATCCCTTCCTTTTCTCCCCAGCAATTTCCCTCAAGGAGTTATCAGATCTTCTGATTGTTATATTCAGGTGCCCCAGACCCTGGCCACCACCCTCGGTCCGTCAGAGAACAGCAAGCCTCCGATAACATCAACCAGCAACAATTATTAAGTGGGAGCCATCTCCTATCTCAACAGAACACAAAAGATGGGGCCAATTGCCTCTGCTGTGTCACTAGGAAGTAAGAACTAAGAAACTTACTCCCTGGAGTTAATGTGAACCCAAAGCTCAATATATTTACTTTGTGACAGGATAGGTACTTTGGGCAACAGTTTTCCTGAGCAGAATGACCCACGCGCTTAACGACGGAGCTGCTGACCTTGGAAAGGGTCATATTGACCAGGGATTAGTGGGTAACCCATGCCAACGTGGGTGTGGTGGTGCGTGTGCAAGTGCCGCTGGCCGAAGGGGGAGTGGCGGTCCCTCTCCCTCTCTGCCTCCCGCTCCCGCTCTGCGGTCGCCTTTTCCACGGGCTGCAACAGAAAAGAGAGATGGGCTCCTCTTAAGATTCTGAAAAGCCACCGACAGGAGTGCTAAAACCTCCTCTGCCCCTTGAGCAGTATTTGCCAATGATTAAAAACAAATGCAGACATATTTAACATTCCTGATTAACGGGAAGACAATTTCAAAAGGCATGCATGAGTTTCAGCGGGCATTAGGCCAACACTAAAGAAATGTTCCCACCTAAGAGTAAACCAAAGGGATCAAGGTTTTCCTAAATGCTGGAAGTAAGAGGACTTTTTTTTTTTTTTTATGCCTGCTCATAACCTCAAGATTACAACCTACCCAATTTCTTCCCAGAAACAACTTTCGTACTTTGATCAAGGGGCGAAAAAAGTAGTTGCGGAGATTTAAGTTAAGTTTTCTAATTATCCTTGTATTTTGTTTACACTGGGTAGGGAGGATCTATCTCATAACTTTAAACATGCCCGTCTCTAGTTTAGTGCATTGAAAATACGCATCTCAACACTGTATGTCAGTATGGAGTATAGGAAATCGTTGCCCTTTGCCTCTGGAAGCATTCCAGAATCCGCCCATTTCTGAAGGTGCGTAGAGAAGCTCTCAGTTCTCCCAAATCACAGTTAAGGACTCTCTCCTATACATTTCCACCCACCAGAACTGAGCCCACTTAAAGTTCTTTGTTCTCACTGGAAAAAAAAAAAAAATCTTTGCACTAGAAGGAGGACCCACAGAAAGAGACTCAGAAATCATCTTTTCTCACAGAGTCTCTGGTGGACACATCCACATCATATATCCTACATTTTATCCCAAACTTCTCTTTTCTAGGCAAGAACTGCCATGTCCTTTTGTCTCTCTTCACGACAGCCTCTAGAACTAGCAGATGCCCTTTCTCTTGGGGTGTGGGGAGGGGGGTACAAGGGGGGAGCCATCTTTCACAAAGACACCTGCTCTCAAGGCTTCGAGATGTTACGGGGACAGGACCAGGGGTCCAAGCCGAAACACAGCACACGCAGCCACCAGCATCTGATCAGGCATCCAAAATACTTTGCCCCCAAAGTTGGTTCCTACGGACGTCCACTTTCCCCTCACAGGCGCCCTCCTGGTAGTCGAAGTAGTGCATTCTGCCACAGAAAAGCCCACTAGCACCACACACGCTCACTCTGGCCATTTTCCCCCCACTGTGTGAAAGCAGCTTACGTTTGAACATTCCATGCTTTATGTGTGAAGATAAAACAGCATCTTGAAATCACGGCTGGGCTTGAAAGCCATTTATATTTCAAGACTGTTTTCTAGCTTGTCCCCTTCTTTCCCCCCAAAACACAGTACTTTTAACGTGACAACAAAAGGCAACTTACAGCGGGAGACTTGCTGCGGTACTGGTTGGCGTGCTGCTGGAGCAAGTCCAGGGCTTTCGATTCCGTCGATGTTTTCGTGTTGATGCTAGGGCTGCTATTGACTTTTTCTGCCTCTTCTCTCCCTGACATCTTCCCATAAACAGGATAATGAAATCCCGGAGAGAGATAGGCCCCTGCAGATACACAACAAATGCCACATCAAGTTACGGGCTCCATCTTAAAAAAAAAAAAAAGAAGGAAAAAAGTCATCTGGGTTACATGAATTTGGGATAAGAGTCAGAGAGCTTAAAACAGGGGTTGACATTAAGCATGAGCTACATCATCGTTAAACTGTGCGAAAGCTCTCCGATTTTCTTCTCCCAGTTAATTCATCCTGATGAACGGAGGTTATAAGCAGAATTGAGCTTATAGCCGTTTCATACATTTATGTGTCCGCTTAAGTGAAAGGAATAGTAACTATCATGATTATGACAGTAAGTGCTTAGAATATTTCCATAGGCAATAAAGTATGCGTCGGTCTAACAGCTAGAGCAGACCATCAGAGTCAACGCAAACGAGAGCTCAGGACGCCTGATATTTGATCTTAAAAACAAACAAGCAAACAAACAAAAAAACCAACCCCCCCCCACCAAACCCTCATATTAAGTTTCACCTTGGGGACTTGACGCAGCCTAAAAATAAGCAAAACAAAGGTTACTGGCGAAGCGTCTTGTTTATCTTGAGTTTATTAAACCGCTAAAATTTGCACGCAGCCTGTTCCCTCCAATAGAGTGAGAACCCACGACACGTACCAGGGTAACTGTGCATTAGGACAGGAGAGACAGCCCGGTATGCAGGGTGGCTGGGGTCATACATCTGTGGGTAAGGATAAGCATGCAAGTACTGTATGTAGGACTGATGCTGACTCATGGGCGAGGACACCGCCACTCTCGCTCCCCGAGAGTCCTTCCAGTTCACGGGCGTTTTCCCATCGTCATTTTTCAGCTTGCTCTCCTCCAGGGACTGAGAATCAGGACGCTTGGCCTCTTTGGGCTCCTCTTTAATGCTCGTTAGTGATACGGGAAGGCTGGGCACACCCCCGTCCTTGGTGGGGGTCTTCCTGGGACTATCCTCTTTCAATTTCTTGTCCCTATCAAGCTCTTCTGACTTTTGCTGATCCAGGTATTTCGGCTGGTATACGTAATGATGCCATGTCCTTGAATCTGGATCCTGATTTAAAAGAAAAAAAAAAGAAAAAAAGAAGAGGGAAAAAACTTTTTTTTTAAATTTCAATTTTGGAAGCAAAACCCATTAATCACCATGATAGCATTATTACTCTTACTTCTAATACTAAGTTAACAGATGTCTGCCCTTGCCCTGCGCAAGAGCTTTAAGCCTCCCTCTCTGACAAAGTCATGATGTCTAAGATAGGCATCATTATTCACCTCTTTCACACAAGACAAACCCAGAGCTTTTCAAGCTCCAGGAACACTGGGGTCACACTGCTGCCCAGGGTGGAGCTGGGCCACAAACTTAGGTCTGCTGGAATCCAGAGCTGGGCCCTTGGTGGGATCCTTTGACATTTAAAACAGCACGCTCAGACATCATTTAACCGAAAACTCATTTTCCCTTTACTATCTCATGTAGGCGAAAAGAATTTTAAAAATTCCCAACTCGGGCTAGTTCGTAGTAAATTCAAATCATCTTCATATCAATTAACATCACTTAGTGGGGGAAACTCTTGGTTTCCTAACATATTTTCTTCACCTACAGCAGCTGAGGCTTAGTATACAGGCTCCCATCTACTGTGCAGATATCTTACTCAAAACACAAAATTTCAAATTAATAGCATGCATTACAGTTTTTCCATTAGAAAACAAAGGCACCTCTAAACCCCTTCAAAACCGTATGGCTCTAATGTAGCCTTGTGAAGCCAGAACCTGGTTCAGGCCTCCAGAAGTGGGGAATTGAGGACTGCAAAAGGCCTCTGTGACTTCCATCCCATTCAGGACAAAAACTCACTGGGAATTTAGGTCCCAAAAGAACAATCGGCCTTGGGCCTCAGTCTCAACTACTAGATAGTAATGAGCATGAAGACAGGGTTCTGTTGATCTGATTCCCCAGGAACAAGAAGTGTGGGAGTGGAGAGGGGGACAAGACACTGGGAAACCCGAGTTAACTCTCAGAGGTCCACAGTGAGGATGTGCATGCCATGACAGAAAGTGTCGGCATGTGTGTGATTTCGTGGTGGCTGGTTTTCAGGTGCCTCCCCGTGGAACCTCAGACTGGCTGACCAGGGGTTCCCAGGAGGACTGCGGGAGGCCCACACACCCAGATACTCCCCATCCCTTCATCTCACAGGCTATGGACATTGAGCCCTGAGCCCCGCTTTGGGACAGGCATCTCGGACACCATGTGAAAGACATCTGGGCCCCAAGTGTTACGAAAGAGACGAGTGGGACATGTGGATTGAAGGGGCCCAGGCTTAATATTCCTTGAAGGTGCCAGGAGAAACTTGGAAATATGATAGAGAACATTGTAGAGACCAGCCTCAGGATCTCTGTGGCCATGTGGTAGTACTCCCTCACTCTGGACTCAGTAAGAAATCAGGGGACCTTGCACAGTGAGTGAATGGCAGGGAACACCAGTCTGCAAAGTGCTGGTCTGAAGTTCCTTTCACTACACAACCCAAGGCAATCGTGGGCAACGCAACGCTTGCAAGGTAGGCAGTAACTCCCGAGGGAACCTTTTCAAGTATTTTTCAGGAGAGGGACCAACCCTAATGAACCCTTGGCTTATTTCCTTTGAAGACGTCTAACCAGATCAAGCCCAGACACGTCCAAGTCTCAGACTCGCTCTCTCCCTGTGGGGGCCACGCTCCACAATCTTACTTGTTTAAATCTCGAGGTTGGGTCTACACCTGTCTGCTTCATAGAGTCCATGACAGATTTCATTTCTACAGCCTCCTTAATAAGCTGGTGGTTTTCCATCTGCTTAGCTTTGAAGCTGTCGGCCTGAAGGTGCTGCTGGTGACCGGGGAGAAGCTGTGATTTACCTGTCTCCTCAGTTTTATTAGGCACTGGTGGCCCTAGTTTAGAATGGGTTTTGTTAGGCTCCGGGGTAGAGGGAGCTTTTGAGATTGTGGCAGACGGCAGGATTTTCTGTTTACTGTCCTCCTTGCCCAGCTCTTTCAAGGGGAGCTCATTTTTCCTGTCGCAATCTCCTCGGCCAGCTTGGGCCATTTTCTGCTCTGCCAGCCTCTGGTCCTCATAGTACTTCTCATACTGCTGCCTATAGGCAGGGCTGGTGGCCATCAGGGCCTTCTGGTCCATATAGAGCCCATAGGCATACTGGCCATAGTAAAGGGACTGCGCTAGGGCTGGGTGTCTCTGTGTGATCACTGACTGGTGCTGGGGCTGTAAGGGGGCTGAGGTATGGTCCATCTTCTTGGCATCAAGCTGCTCCACCTTGTCTTTCTTTTCTGCGTCCTCCTCGGACTCCTTCTTGATCTTCATGGCCTGCGCGCTCCCACCGTTCCCAACGGCAGGGGCTCCCACCTGCCCGGGGTGCATGTAACTTGGAGAATAGTAAGGGTCATAACCATGGTAGTAGGGAGAATGGGACTCTTTCATCTGAGATGACTGTGCTGTAGCCGAAGGATGCCCTTTGACAACACCCTCCTTACTGGAAATGATGTCTGATGGAGAACTGGCCTTGGACCGCATGCCCTCTGACCGGCTGTCGGAACCGCCATCATCCGCTGCATCAGAAATGTCCGAATAGGCAGGGCTGCTGGTCTTGGCCGCCGACGTCTCTGCGCCGTTTTGGGTGAGCACGTGCAGTGGGGCCATGGGAGCCTGGCCGTTCACCAAAGTGCTGCATTCCATCCTCGAGGCACTGCCTATGGACGGGCTGGGGGCGTTGTCCGTGAAAGTGTAAACCTTATCCGCCTCAGCTTTGATGCTGGCCATCCGGCTCTCCTGAGACTCCGACAGTCCGTTGGCCAGCCCTTCACTCTTGCTGAGGTGGTCCTTTAAAAAATGCCCAGATAAATCTTTCCCTGCCCCTTTGGCGTCCTCGAGTTTGCCCAGCTTGGCATCCAGCTTGGGGCTCCCCGACTCCTTCCCTTCTTTGTCCTTAAGCTTCCGCTTCTCCTTCTTCTTTTTGTCTTTGAGGGACACAAGAGCTGGGTTCACGGTGATGGGCTCCCCCATAATCGTGGGCTTTGGCTGAATGGGTTTCAACGGAGGGCTCTTTGGTGTGGCCTGCACGACAGTCGTGGTGAGGGAGGGCAGTCCGGGGATGGTCCCCGTGGTGGTGCTCGTAAAGGCTGCGGTGGGTATGGCAATGAGTTGCGGGGGCGCGGGCGCGGGCGCAGGGGCAGGGGCGATGGGCCGGGCAGTTTTAAGTTTGGAGAGATTTTTGTCCATTTTGCAGTTGTTGGCTTTCTTGCCCTTTTCCTTGTCTCCCGCAGTCTTCTTATCGATCAAGCCTTCCGCTTCCAGCTTGGGCATCTCCGCGGCCAGGCTGCCATCTGCCGCCGTGCAACCGTCCAGGGTGGCCGTCATGTTGGAGATCACCGGGAGGTTGCTCAGCTCACTGTGAAGGCCCTTCTTTTTGCCAGAGTTCTTGCCTGCTTTAGAGCCAATGACAGAACCCGGACCGTTGCTCATCAGCTCTCTCTTTCCCTTGGGGGTGCCAGGGGGGTGCCCAGAGCCTGGTGAGGCGGGCGCCTTCACCTGCTCGTAAGCCGAGAGGCTTGCGCTGGGCTCACTGCACTCGAGCGCCACGTGACTCAAGGCCTCCTCGCAGTCTGAGATCTTGTCCTCGCTGTCGGGCTCGAACTCCAGCTTGTTCTCCGGGTCTAAGTGTGCGTGAGCCTGGTGGTACCTCAGGCCGTTAATGTGCTTGTACTTTTTGTTGCAGTTGGGGTGGGGGCAGTCGATTAACACCGGAGACGAGCAGCCTTGGTCCAAAAAAGTCGTCTCTGGTTTCCCTTGAGGAGTGGTTGGAGTGCTTCTGGAATTCGTGCGGACACGCTTCCCGGGCTTGTTGTCCTCAGAGCTGGAATTCAGGTCCAGCTCCATTGGGGGCTTGTTTTTCCTTTTGTTGGTGGAGGAGGGGCTGGCTTTGATGTCCTCCGCGGCACAATTTGGGGGTGTCCTTCGCCCGCTGGCATTGAGGCTGCCTCGCCTCCCCTTTCCATTGGCCCCCCCTCTGTTCTTGTTCTGCAACCCTCTGGACTCCGTGAAGCTGGCCTCCGAGCCTGGAGCCGCTGCGGCAGACCTGGCTCTCTTCCCTCGGCCCCGGCCCCCTCTCATCTCCAGGTCGCTGGTCGGGGACTCACAGAACCTAGGGAAGCAAGCAACAGAGGTCAAAATGAGCAATCCCAAAAGAGCCAGGTGAAAACACAAGGCACACAATGCAGGCAAGAGCAGCCAACAGCCCCCCAGCCCGAGGGCTGGGCCCAGAGAAGGAAAACACACCCTAGCCTTCCGCTGAGAATTTCACTCCCTGCAAAAGAACCAGCTAGGGAGGATGTATGTTCTTTAGAACACCAAAGAAAAATGACTGGGATATCTAGCTTCAAATCCAGTTCCAATTCCCATTTTAAGTAGAGAAGGAAACAAAAGAGAGAGGGAGCAGGGGCAGGGAGGAGAGCTCTCTGTGACTGAAAAGAAATCCTGCATCTGCATTTCACCGTGTGCAATCCTGAACTGCTCCCTTCTCTTTTGCCTGGTTTCAATTACGGGCAGACTTGTATGCATTATTAATCTATCTCTCGGGTTTCTTTGCAAAGAGAGGATGGGGGAAGGTGAGGGCAAGAGGAAGAAGGAGAGAAAACAGAGCCTGAAATAAAAGGCCCGGTGCATACCTGGGAGGGGCCCAGTCGTGCTTGGTGCAGTCCAGCAGGGTCCCTACGTAAGTTTTGTTCCTCCACGTGACATTGACCACTAGAACACCTGCAGGAATGGGCAATGAAGGAAGACCACAGTTAGCAGGGGTTCCTCTATTTCCAGATGATGATGATGATGATGATGGTGATGATGATGATTTTGCCAGCAAAGTTCTATTCTCATCCGCTTTCAAAAGCTGTGGTTTTGCATTCTTCCTCTTTCTGGTTTCAGTGACCTCAAGTGAAAACCCACAGGAAATTGTGCGTGTGTGTGTGTGTGTGTGTGTGCGTGTGTGTGTGTGAGATCATGCCCATGCGGTACAAAAGGGTAATACTGTGTGTGAGAGTGTAATCAAGATACTGCTGACAGAAGGAAATGGTTTTTGCCATGTCCTGCTATAAAACACCAACACTCACCTCTTAATTTTTCTATTATTACACATAATTGCTTTCGTTTGGCAAGCAGCCAACAAAAACCAAGCGCCAGTTACCAGTGCTTAAACCAGAAGGTGACTGAAAGGCATCGGCTTTGTTTCCAATTCAACAGTAAAGAATCGTGGTGATTTTGTGTTTAGAAAAAGATTATAGGGGTGCACAAAAATAGGTGTCGAGGGGGATAGCAGGGGGGCCACAGAGTCCAGAGAGCAGACAATCTGCTATGATTTCTCTTTCCTACTCCTCCCCTCTCTGGCTCTGTGAGACAAGCATCAGCCAGGGTATGGTATCTGTTTCACTGTTTGGTCTTGTTTCATATTAAGGACTCCGAAAATAGCCGTCTTAAGAAAATAAATGTGCACAATAGGTTTGCTCTTGGGGTTATCTTTAGAATCAACTTTAGAAAGCATTTGCCACAGAGGATTAGAAAAAAATCTCAAAACCAACACACTTGTTTCCTGCAAGCCATTCTGCTTTTCCCAACTGCTTTGCAGGCAGACAATTTAATTTAGCACTGCATCTGTGAATTACTAAACTTAAGTGCACTTAGTATACCAAATGTCACAGGAAAACAAAATAGAACATCCTCTTTATTTCTCTAGAGGACAAGCACCGTATATTTTTTTTAATCACTCGTTAAAAACGTACAATAAAAGAACCTAGATCCTGAGACATACCTAAAATATTAGGGTAAATAAATGAAACACTTAAGTGAGGCTTTGTTTTGTTTTCTGTACCTACAATCCATTCTATCTCCGAAGCACCAAGGGACAGTCCTCAAGGTCTGCTTCTAGTTGGCTTGCTCCCTCGCTCACTGCCATTTTGAATTGTACAGAAAGCCTGTATTGCACTCCTTTACAGTATGAGACAACTCACAAGGTAAGACTAATTTCCTCGGGAACATTTTCACAGCAGGTAAAAATATTTGAATGGTTGGAACTCAGTAGTGGTGAAGGGAGGATTTCTTTCAAAAGTCTCCGAAAGAGATTTAAAAAATGCTTTCCCATATGGTCTCTGTTGCTATTAGGTGACAGCTGAATTTACTCACTGTAGCGATGGGGGGAGGTGGGGAGGTGGAAGGGGGACGGGAATGAAGCAAAGCAAGCATTTCCTCAAATCACGGTTGATTCCATTCTAATTCCCTGGGGGAAAAAAATTTTTTTTAACCACTGAATATAAAAATTCATACTGAGATGAGAATCAATGGTAATTAGGCATTTGGTCAAAATTTGCACAAGACAGAACAATTGGAGGAAAGGATTCTTTATGAGCACATCCCTCCAGGAAAAGGGAGGCGGTGGGAGGGGAGGCGAAGGGGAAGACCGAACTGGTTTTCTCATCATGTGCTCTCTGGGGCCCTGTGTGTGGTGTCAAAGACCTTTGCAGCTGCTTAAAATTCTTTAGCATGTCAGCTATATTTACAGTGCAGGAATATATCTGTATTGCCAGAAGGTTACCGCATTTTAGCTTTAGACGCAATAGGCTGAATCACTGCGTTCCAGAGTCCCTGATGTAGCACAAATGTATAATTAAAATTGCTTGAAAGGAAACATGAAAGAAACAACAAACCCTCCATTCTTGCAGTAATAAAATTAAAAACAGGAAAAGTCTGCACAGACACTTAACATTTGTCTGCAGTGAAAGGCTTTTGTTATTGCTTTTCCCCTAAGGGTTTCGCGTTTCCAGCAAACGCGGGCCGCGGATTGGCCGGCGCCTGCTGGGAACGCGCGCGTCTGATTGGCTGGGCCGAGGGCGGCCGCCCGGGAGCCGCGAGGCGGCGGCCGGGGATAAAGGCGCTGGGCGGAGGGCAGGGGCCGCGGTGGCGCTCGGGGCGCCGAGCACGCCTGCCTGCGCCCCCCGGGACCTGGTCGGCGGTTCCCCAGCCAGGACCCCGGGGGCACCGTGGGGACCCCCAAGCGGCAGCAGCTGCCGTGGGACTACCGCGGCCAGCTGTCGCAAAGGCTGAGCCCACACTGCGGCTTGCACAGAGTGAAACCATTCCCACGGCCGGAGGCTGTTTCTAGAAGCCACGCCGGCACACCTCGTGGGGAAGCACTAGCGAGAGTGCTAGGATCGTCGTTACCGGCCGGCCCTGGGGGCCATGGCGGTTGGGGGAGGGGGGTGGGGAATCCCGGTCAAGCCCATTCTCAACCTCAAAAGGGCCTCCATGCGCCAGCCTCATTTTCCTGGAAGCCCTCGGTATCTGAAATGCTCAAAACAAATGCTTTGCTCCCGGGGAGATTTTGAAGAGTCTCCATCAAGCGGGGCTAATTAAATACGTGTGCCTGTGTCTATTTTTCTTTCTGCCACAGAGGATGTCTCTCTGCCTAGCATTCACGTGCGAGTGTACACACGCACATGTTTACACGGCCAAACTGGAAAGAAGGCTTAAGGAATGCTTCTTGTATAAATTACAAAGTGTACTGTTAATTTGTAAGAAAGTCTGCGTGTAGACACCCCCCCCCCCATTGTGAGGGGCCAAGTGGGAAGGTGGTGTTTCAGCTCTCAGACATGCAAATGGTTTGTCGGTTTCTTGCTTAAGTCTCAACAGCTTGGGTACTTGGTAACCCATGGGCATGTAAAGCGGACTCTTCTTTCGAAATAACCAAAATGAAAATCAGTCCTTTTAAAGTTCTACTTCGAATTTCATAAATCTGGGCACAGTTGTAGTTCTCATTTATCTTACATACACTGGAAATAAATATACATGTATGCCCAACAGAGCTGATATTTCTTTTAATGCACATTTATTCTTCCAAATGCCTTGCCTGGGACCCAGGTGCTGGGGACACTCTACAACCAGCCTCCTTCATCTTCACATTCTCCAGTATCCTTTGAGTTTTACTGTCCTCCTTTCCTACCCAGGACAACGGTCTTTGTCAAAGTTCTAATAATGCCTGCCCCTCAATGTTTTATATCTGAGAAAGATCTGAAGATCACTACCAATGAAGTATGAATGCAGCTAAAGACAGCAATGGATAGTTTGAGTGTGCTCACCGCACAGGGTTTTCATATTTTTTTAATGCTTTGTCTTGGATACTGATACAGAATCCAAGCTATGGCCCCCTAAAGTATGTACTATCTACAGGACACTTAGAAGAACGTGCTCCGCCCTCTATAACCTAAGCCTGTTACCTCTGCAAGCCCAAAGAGCCCTGACGTCTCCTAAGAATTCCAGTCACAGGGTTCTAACTCTAATGTGCTCTTGTCAATACTTAGCAGTGAGGTGCTCCCAGAGAGATGATCGGGCAGGCCCACGGACCATTTACTGTGCATCTTCAGAGTATACATTAGGTACTTATTTGGTGCTATGGAATCAGCCATGGTCTAGCCAGACCTCCATCCAAACTCCATTCTGCAAGAGCTTACAAACTTACCATAAACCCAACACAGGCACACCCTGTCACCCAGAAAGGGAAGGAGAGCTTATGGGTGACCTATACCTAGAGAACAGTTCCCTTAATCCGTCACATTAAACTAGACCCTGGATAAGATGTTCCTAGGACTTACCCTGCCTACAGTCCCTGCTCAGAGGGTTGTCTTAGGATGGTTCCAACAAAGGGCGCCTAAGCTGAAGCAGCCAAACAGGGACTTATTTTGGGAAATGGAATTTGTCACAAGGAAAGGTGATAACATAAGTAGAAATCTCAAGGTCACAAGGTACTAGAGGCTGAGAGGTCGACAGTGGGCCAGAGCCCCAAGGATACAAGAGCTAGGACATGAGGAAGCCAATGGGCACAAGGCCCTCAGTACCGGTGTGTATGTGTCCCTTCTTCCTCCTCTTCATCAGTGACAGGGGCTCACCAAGCACCCAGGACTGCCCCATTACTCTCCAGCCATCTTGTTAAAAAGTCTTTCCTGGTTCTCAATTTAAATCTGTCTTTGACTCCCTTGCTCCCAGAGGTGCATTCTGATAACCAGCAGGGAAAGTCTACCCACTGTCCCGTGGACAGCCATTCACCCAGGCAAGGACAACAACCACCGCAACATTCTCACCTCCAGCACCCCCCCCCCCCCCGCCAGCCTAAAGGAGTTTCTTCTGCAAGCACCATTTACATCACAATTTTAATCCCTCTAAGACGTTCTAGTCCAAATCTCCAAGGAAAGCTCCTAATGAATTAGCACCAAAGAGGGACAAAGTCCAATGTTCCCTCTTCTCTGAATGTTCTCCACTCCCACGCTGACAGTGTACGCCACCGAAACACAGGCACCCCCTCCTGAGGCCCCCACAGCACTTCCCTTCACGGCCCTCTGACCAACGGATGCTCACCAGAATCCATGCTTGCCTCTGAGTCCACAGCTAGACCCTTCTTAGCCTCCCACCCAGTTAAATGCAGGTGGTGGCTCACTCAGGTCTATGACAGCTAAGTGAGAGACTGGATGCGCCACTCACAGGCCTGGCCCACAACTATCCCCAGTGCATGTCCTTTTCACTTCTTTCTCTTTCTGGCTGGCTGGCACGGAGACTGCAGTGACCTTGAAGGCCACCGACGGATGGCAGGGTCTCCTTCATCTGGGACCCTGAATGACAAGGGAAACCCACCAAAGGAATACCAAACTCACTCCATCAGGGAAGCAGCAGATAAACTCCTCCCATGTTTGAACGCTGAGAGACTGTCTTAACCTAATACT